CCTTGTGCTTTCGAGGCAGGCACTGGAACCAGGGAGCTAAATCCCTGGCCTTGCTCGTTTCTTTTAGGGCTGGATTATGTTGCCATTGTCTGGAAGTACCACGCCTTACTTATCCACTTGCCTGTTGGATGTCATCTTGGGTGTCTCCAGGGTCATGGCGATCGTAAACAAGGCTGGTATAAATTTTTGTGTGTGGGCTCTGATGTGCAGAGAAGTTATTATAGAGCCAGGTTTGTTTTTTTGGTTTTTAGTGGGGTTTTTTTTTTTGGCAAAGCCTTTTTTCCACAGCGTTTTTTCTTCATGCTACAATTCCTCTGAATAGATGAAAAGCGAGTGCTGTTTGAAATGCAAGTATGTGGCTACTTTGCCTTTGCCTCCGAATTAACTGCAGGAAGAGAAGGAGAAACCCTCAAGCCTCAATCTGTATTATTTCACACGGAAGTTGCTATATGACCAAAAGCATCGTTCCTTTTTTCTTTCAAAGCCTGAGGAGGGTTACATTGCCTTGTTGCTTCTGTGTCCCCTCGTGGAACTAATTACCGTTTTCAAAGGAATAAGGGTTAAATTAGTGTCACAGCCAGACGTCCCCGCGGCCAGGTGAGCCGAAATGCACAGGTGGTTTGCTTAGCTGGACCAGATAACAGCAGAATACATGTCCACATGCCAGTGATTTATCGTGGGGGACAAATTACTGAAATAGGCCTTGGGTGTCCTGTTTTTCGGTCCTGAGAGCCCCACATTGATGTTTGTGATTCAGGTGCTGAGAATGTTCAACACTGGAGTTAAAAATGGAGCAAGACTGAACCGAGTCTACCCTGTGGCATTTGCAATCCACTGGCAGATGTGAGCCTGGCAGCAGGTGACTTGGCTGTTGTTTCTGTTCTGCATCAGAAATCATCTCTGCTGCCTCTGGGCAGGGGGTTCATTCTGTGATTCTCCTTCCCCTTTTCTGGAAACTGAGGCACAGAGATTGTCTTGATTGGATGTGATCCATCTGCTGAGTAGGATGTATTAGCATCTTGTATTCATCTATTTCCGCTGCAAAGGATACCTGGTATCCTTGCGGAATCTCAGTTGTTATGGGCACGTTACAGTGATTAAATGAACCTAACCCCAGTGTGGTTTCCACGTGGAGATCACCGATTTCACCCTCAACCCCCAGAGGATGTGGAAAGGTTTACTGTCCCACGATAGGGCTGATGGGGCGAGCTGCTTGCAGAACAGCTTGGGAGAGTGTGGGAAACAATGTGGAATGTGGTGTGGATAAAGAAAATGTGTATAAACACCGATGATGAGCATATAGACCATTTCCAAGCTTTAGCTGTTATAAATCGTGCCGCTCTAAACATGGATACACACGGATCCCTGTGATATGATGTCTCTAACTGTTGGGGGGAAGATACCTAGAAAGGAAATAGCTGGATCAAATGGGATTTCTGGTTTTAGTTTTTTGAGGAATTGCCATATTGATTTCCACAGTGACTGTCCTAGTTTACATTCCCACCAGCAATATAGAGGCATTCATAGGAAAGTGGATACGTCTTGAAACCATAATGTTGAGTGAAATACATCAGACACATGGGCTGACACGGTTTCTCTTACAGGAGAGACCGACACTGTAAATAAAACACAAAATTAAATATCAGGAAGGAAACAGGAAGTCAGGAGATGGATCTTTCTCAAATGGGAAGGGGGTCAGGAGATGGAGGGAGGAGAGGGAAGGGGGAACAAAAAATAATTGAAGGAGAAAATAGAAGTAGAGCTTTTGTAAATGGGAAGGGGACCAAGAATTAGAAAGAGCAAGGAGGGATGGGAGGGGTAGGGGATGTGAGAAACAAAAAAAGAAGGTGTGTTGTGTACACGTACTGACCCCAAACAAAGACTGTAAACATTATGTCCTGCAAACATGTCCAGACAAGACAGTGTGGCTGGGGTACACAGTGCAGCCTATTCAGCCATAAAGAAGGTTGGGCTCCTGGCATTTGAAATGGCATCGTGGAATGGGAAGACATGCTGCTAAGTGCAAAGAGCCAGGGAGTGCAGACTGGTGCAACCACTGTGGAAGTCAGTATGGAGATACCTCAAAGATCTAGGGCTAGAGGTCCCATTTGACCCAGCTATTCCCCTGCTGGGGATCTTCCCCAAAGAATTAAAAGAATCATACCATAGTGATATATGTACAGCCATGTTCATAGCAACACAATTTGTAATGGCTAAAACTTGGAAGCAGCCCAATTGCCCATGAACTGGAGACTGGATAAAGAAAATTTGGGGTTTTTTTAAAATGGAGTACTACTCAGCCATAAAGAATGAGAAATTAGAGACATTTATTGCTAAATGAATGCACATTGAGGCTATACTCTTAAGTGAAATAAATAGGATACATGTGTAAATACTGAATAGTTTCTCTAGTGTGAGAAACTGAAAGTGTAAATAAGGACTAAAAGGTAAAATAGATAATGTGAAATAGGAAGAAAAGGGGAGAAGGGGAAGTGGGAGGGGTAGGGGAAAGGACAGAAGAGACTGGAATTAATATGAGAAAATGAAAAAGTGGAAACAAAGTCTTTGTAAGTAGAGAGGGATGGAGGGGTTGAAGGGAGGGCAGAGAAAGGACGAAAAATAAGAACCAAGAGAGACTATGTAAAGGCGCAAATTTCCAATGATGAATGTCATCATGTTGTATTCCTAAAATGTACCAATAAAATAAAATTTTTAAAAAAAGAGAGACAAATGCCATCCGATCTCATTCATACTTGCAAGCAGGAAGTGTTGACCTCCTGAAAGTCAAGAGTCGATGCTGGCTGTACGGGTACGAGTCAGTTAAGAGATACTGAGTTACAGTCGGATTGGGGAAGGAAGCTGTGAGTTGCTACTCACAGTAAGGTGAGTTCAGCTGTCAATAATATCTTGTATATTTTTAAAAGAAAGAGCTAGAAGAAAGAATTTTGAATGCTTCTAGCTCAGAGGCGTATGACAAGTTCGAGTTTCAATTTTTTGAGGAATCTCCAGGCTAATATCCATGGAGGATAATATCCATATCCATAGATATGTTTTCCCTCATTGGAACTTTAAACAACATATGAAGTATGATCAACACATGTGGTGAGTGTTTAAAATTTTTAACTGTATTGCAGTAAAAGACACATTGCCACGAAACCCTCCTTGAGTTGCACACACTTGTGTCACCATCCTTGCCACATTTTGAAGCACTTCTAGAGTCCTCTTCCCTGAGCATCTTTATGAGAAGTCACAAAACAAAAAAATAGAGTGAATGCTGCTGCCAGTCACCGTCCAACAGAATGGCAGGTTATAAAAACATGGTTCTGCGTCCTCATCCACTGGATCTGGCACCGTGGACTTCTGACTGTTTCCCAAAGTCACAGTGATCATAAAAGATCAATGTTTTGAATCCATTTAGGACATCGAGGCAGCCAGGACAGCAGCACAACTAAAGACATTTGTGAAAGAGGACTTCCAGAACTGCTTCAGAAAGTGGCAAGAAGGACGGAATAAGTGTTTTCGAAGGAAAGAGGGTGGATTTTGAGGGGAATTCATAGCAATGTATCTTTTGCTCTAATCCATTTTTAATTTATATATTCAGTTTTCACCACACCCTCATACCTGTTTCAAAACATCACATCATACCTCATAAATATGTGTGATCATTATGTATCAACTTAAGTAAATAGATAATAGAATCAGTCTGCTCTGCTAATTAAAGTCCAGCTGCATGCACTGTCTTACTAAACTGCAAGCAAGCAGTGTCTAACTATGGATCTGTGAGGAAATGATATACTGTTCATCTCTGACCCTTCATTCATATACTGACCCATCATTGTCTTCTGTTTAAAGGGCCATGGTAGCTTCCTAATCAGCCTGTTGTTTTTCTCATGAAATAAAAAAATATATAGATTGAGCCAGAGTCTCCTTAAGTTGTCCAGGTTGACCTTGAACTTGCGGTACTCCTGCCTCAGCCCCGTTCGCTAATATTGTAGGCAGGCACTGCTACACCTGGCTTGTTATGGAAAATTTTAATCGTAAGGAGACGTGTAATACAATAGAGTCAATCCTCATGTGCTCTTTGTCCGTATTAACTCAGTGGCTGAGGTCACCTGGCCGTTTTCCCACCCTTTCTTTCCCTCTTCTTGCTTTAGTTGGAGAAGGCATCATTTCATACCATGTTCAGTCACAGCACAACATCCATGGGTGGGGCCACATGTATCTCAGAAATGTGTGTTTCTCTTCTTTAAGGTCTTTTTTTTTGGCGAGCTAAGTCCACCCTCTGGCCTGTGCAGTCTCAGAGTCTGGGGATTGGATTCAGACTTACTTCTTGTTCTCTGGTTCTCCTGCTTCCTGTGGGTCTGAACTTGAACAGTCTCTTCTCTTTTTGCAACACTGTTACCCCATGAGCAAAGTGGAACTGCAGCTCTGACTCCAAGGGTTCCCTGGCGTCTACACCAGAGAACACCAAAGACACCCTTTGGCATGTAGGCAGACATCAGTAGGTGGCAGAAAGTAGCATTGCTGTTGCTGCTGTTGGTATGGTGATTTTAAAGCGTTTTGTTGGAGTGGTGGACAGTGTCAAGTTGAGGGAAAGAAGGGGGGAACAAGAAAAAGAAGCTATGAGAAACACTGATGTTCACGCTGGGCAGTTCTAGATTTGGGTGTCTACTGCAAATACTGAAAGATGAAATCTGTCCTGAAATATTTGCAGATGTATTTGCCCATATTCCAGGAACATACTTGCTCATAAGGTGGGTTACTTCTTTGGAACCTCAAAGCCATGGGCAGCTGTGGAGACCCCTGAAGTGCTCTCTCTCTCTGTGAGCCTCCTAAGAACCCTGGCAGGGCTGATCTTCCCCAACAGCGTCATACGTCAGGTGGCACAAGAGTGGCCTTACTGCTTTGAGAAATGAATGGGCCGCTTGGGAGGGCAGCTGCCTCCGTTGCCGTCACGATGACTGAGCTGCTCTCAAGTGAAGTCCGTCTCTGTCTTCCAGGGCAGGTTCTGAATGTGCTGGATGAGCTGGGACTGTCCAATGACACCCTGGTCTACTTCACATCGGACCAAGGAGCCCACGTAGAAGAAGTGACACCCAAGGGAGAAATGCACGGAGGAAGCAATGGCATCTATAAAGGTAAGAAGTGGTGGTGTGGACCAGTGCTCACGGCTCAATAGCAGGCCGCTTTTTCTTTGGTCTTAGAGATTTTGTGTTCTTTGCTGCCTGGTGTTATAAGATGTCCTCAGGCTCCATGCGGTACACACTTAGCCGACCCAAGTTAGCCTTTCTGCCATGGATCCATAGGCTTTAAAAGCCAAGTTCCATGTCCAGACATGGAATGATGCTGTGTATCCTGAATGCAAAACCCACCTGGTGTTGTGCTCCTGGTTAGAACAAGACTCGCTGTACCCTTGTGTTTGCATCTCCCATCCCAGCTATAACAAGTCGACACAGGCACACTGCCTTACAGCAGCACAGGTCCCTAACTCATGGGTTTGCAGTGCAGAAGTTCAAGGTGGATATCTCCATTGGTGTAAAACCAAGATGGCGGCTGGACCTGTCCTTTAACAGGCTCCAGAGGAAAAGCCATTTCCTGGCCTTTGCCAGCTTCTCCAGCCTTTCTGCATTTCTTGGCTCGCTGACTTCTCTGGTTCCATCTTCAAAGACCTCAATTCAGTATCTGCAAACCTCCTTCCCCAGCCCCCTTTTGACTTCCAGTTCAATGTCATCACCTTCGCTCTCTCTGACCCTCCTGTCTCCCTGTTATGGGATCTTGGATCCTTGGATCATATTGGCCCCAAGCAGATAATCCAGAATCATCCCCTCTTCTCAGGACCCATTACTTTATTTTTTACTATATGTTTGCCCTACATAGTGATCACATTCACCACAGAGAATTTGTACCTGTACATAATAGATCTTAATTCTTCTCCTTTTTCCATTCCCCTTCCCTCCCTTCAACCCTTCTTCCTCTCCCCGTTTACAAAAGCTTGGTTTCCATTTTGTCTCTTCCATTCTCTTTTATTTTGAATCCTGTTGTCCTCCCTTCCCCTCCCTCTAGCCCTTCCCTAGTTCCCCTTCCCATTTGAGTAAGTTTTCCTACTTCCCAACATCTATTTTCCATTTTGCTTCTTATTTGCACTTTGGGTTTCTCACACTAAAGAAACCATGCAATATTTAAACTTGTGTGTCTGATTTATTTCACTTAAAGTTACAGTCTCAAGGTGCATCCATTTACCTACAAATGTCTTGTGTGTATCCTTATTTATGGCAGAGTACTACTGCATCATATATAAATACCACATTTGGGGGGGGTACCAGGGATTGAACTCAGGACCTTGTGCTTTTGAGGCAGGTGGCGGCACCACTGAGCTAAATCCCTGGCCCAATACTGCACTTTTTTACCCATTCGTCCATTGATGGGCATATGGGATGCTTTCAAGATTTAGTGATTATAAATTGTGCTGCTATACACGTGGGTATCCATACAGGACTGCAGTATGATGCTTTTGGCTGTTTTGGGAAGATACCTGGAAGGGGAAGAAGGGGAATATCTGGTTCAAATGGGACTTCTAGCTTTATTTTTTTGAAGAACCTCCATACAGTCTACCTGAACCCACAAGAATGTCTGCAGCTAACGCTTTGTCCCCTCCAAGCGTCCCTGGAGGCATTTCCATGGTAGACCAGGTGTCCCGAGGGTCTTTGGAGAAGGTGGGGTGACACCTGGCTCCTGGTTTGTATGGTGTGTGCTCTGTGAGTGCAAGATAATGGTATGTAATTGCAGTACAGCTGGCTCATTTCACAAAGACTTAGGTAAGATGAATAAGAAGATGAAGCTTTAGGTCCCTTTTGCAAGCACAAAGCAAGAAAGTACAGGCAGCCCTCTCATGTCTCTGTCACACTGATGTTTCACAGACTCCTGGGGAATCAGTGCTTACACCAAAAGTCATGCATGGTCAGTCTGTGGGGTGCTTTCATCCATCAGTGTGTGTCGAAATACTGGCTGAACATCTGCAGTATCTAGGCAAGAAAGGAGCAAATCTAAGACATGCCTCCGTCCTGGAAGGAACTCCTGGTTAACTAGTGGGTGGCTTGATGGGTATGTGGGAGGATAAGTTTGGGTTGGAAGCCTACAGGGATAATGAGGATGTCCATGTCCAAGGGCACAAGATGTTCAAGATTCACACAGGAAGGAGAGCTTTCCTTGACCAAGGAGATCCCAGGAATGGGATCCACAGATAGCATGGTGTGGAAGGAAGTAGCCGCTCACTGTGTGCGAACCTTTTGCCCTCTTTCTACTGCTTTGTGCCTTCTTTACCACTCCCCCTCAGTGGTAGCTCTTGGTATAAGGAGAAGCCATGCTTAACTTGTTCTGTACTCTCCCAGGAATGTAGTAAAGGTTCATCGCAGTATCCAAGGCAAAGAGGTGGAGTCCACTGTGGTCTGTCCTGCAGGTGGTCCATGAACCCTCACAGTTACATTCGCATCTCTGTACGTGCACTCGGGGATCCGGGATATTCTGAGCATCTTTATCTGGGTGAGGACCCTTTATTAGGCCTTCGGTTGCCTGGTACCGAGCACATAAGTGCTCCCTTTGCTTGATGTGTCGTTGTTAGCAATGCAGGGCACGCAATCATATTCGGCATGGGTTAAATGACTGTACAGCTGTGTTTAATCCAAACAGGATCCACCCCATTGGGCTGCCACTCTTCCTCTATTTACCGTCTTATTTTAAAATAGTGAGGCATGACCACTTATGTTCCTATATAACAAGATTCTTCTTTCCATAAGGCCCATGTGGATAGAGCTGTTTGGACTTTATTTTGTAGATTACAGCCTCTCTAAAAGTTGGAGTTACGGACTGCATTTCACACCCTGCTTCACGCATTCATTCATTCTCTAGCCGAATGCCTGTTAGAGTCCGAAATAGCTCAGCGGCCTCCAGGAGACATGTACATAAATCACCGTGATAGGCATGGTGAGAAAGCAATACGTTACTTAGGAAGCTTCCATATGCTATGAAGGCTCAGGTCAGGGAGAGGCAACTGCGGCTCAAGAGTCCAGGAAAGGCTGGTGGGGTGACGGGGAGACGGCATTGCTATTTGGCTGTGACAGTGGACCCTAGAGACAAAAAGGGGCACAGCTCCGGAATGGGGTGTCACAGGTCTTGAATGGTGCATGGGTTTTGTTGTTACTGCACAATCCTAAAAGCATGTCAATTGCTATTCTACAAATTATTTTTTTTAGAAATGCATTGGATGTGTTAGATATTTTTTTTTTCCCTTGTGTGCCAGAAAGGCCATGAAACCATGACACTGCATTAATGTCAGAGCTGCCTCACTCTTCAGAAGTTTTAGCCTTTAGTCAAGCTTTGTTGAAATCGAGTTTGTGGCAGAATGCTATGGAAACACAAAACCCTCAAAGAGAGATGCAGTTTCCTCCCAGGGCTGGGAGGGGTCCGCAAACTTGGAAATGTCAGCGCGTCTTGTGTTGTAAAGCTGCAAACTACAACACCACACAAGGAGGTGTTTAAGTAGACACACAGGAATGGTGCCACTTAATGCCCTGATCAAAAGAGCATCTTTTTTCAAATCAGTAATGACTTCGTTTAGTCAAAGCCCTTCACAGAAGATCTGTACTATTTAAACCCATTGATTTCTCTGTATTCCCTAATCAGATTTGCTAATGAAATCTATGGACTAATTTGGTAAAACTGCCAGGATTAAGCCAACTTCCTCTTGAATTCAATGAGTTTTTCCCTCGAATGCTATACACATTTCATCTCTGCTATAATCGGCATTTCAGAAATAATAATTTAACATCGTGGAAGGAAGAGAGTAAACACTACCTGTTTCTTTTTTTCTGAAGAAACTGAGTTTACAGTGTGATCATCCTGTTTAGATTTCGATACAGGGAAATTCTGTCTTTGATAAAGGGCTGTAGCATAAAGGAGATTTGGGAGCTAGATTTGAGATCAAAGGTATATCGTGGATATAATTCTAGTCAATTTTTTAGAAATCTTGGCAGTAAGTCCTTCAGGTAGTAGTTCCTGGAATCTTTATCCCGGAGGACTTTCTAAAATAAATTTCATTACACTGCCCACACATTTTGAATGACTGTACCAACCCAATCAAACCAGTTTTCTAAGGAATATCCCATCTTCCCACTTAAGAATGAAGGACTTCCTGTCTCTGTTGGAGTTACTAGATAATTTAATCCTCTATTTATAACAAGTCATTCAGATTTTCTTCCCGAGCAAGATAAATAAGTGAGGAACAACAAATATCCTACAACTTTTTACACCAGTCTGTGACTCCTGACAGCCTTTAACGTGAAAAATCCCATCAGGGCTGTTCAAATGGTGGAAGGTGTCCGCAGTGAGATGTTGGGACTCTGGAGGTTGGAAGCACTGCTGAAGCCCCGTCAACTGGCCAGGTCGTTCTTGGGAAAGCCTCTTCCTTCTGTACCCTTACCTTACCTGTGTGGAGGAGGTGGAACGGGAGTTCAGGACAGTCACCCTCCTACATATGGTTTTCTTATCCAAGGAGCCAGTGGCCACACAGCCAGCTTCACATGTGGAAGTCAGGGTTTGTGCCCCTTAGCTTTTCTGGGGAGAAATAGAGGCACACCAACCTGCCTGGTCACCTCAGCCTTCCTTCGCGCCCGGCACGCTGTTTGCCTCAGCCGCCTCCAGTGTTGCAGACCTCCTCCGGGGGGCAGTGTTCCGTCCTCATGTGGATGCTGACCCGATCTGATCTCTCCAGATCCATGACCTCAAGTAGCACCTGAATGCTTTCCATCTCATACACCCAGTCCTAGCCCTACCTTGGAGTCCCCGTGTCCTGTTTGCAGCTGCCCGCTGGAAGTGGTTGTTCAGTAGCCACCTCCTGCTGAATACACCCAAAGTGCCCGCCTTATCCCCCAACCCCTCGCATTCCCCCAACTGCCTAATTTCACTGAACTCTTCCCCAATGGGTAACCTCCACAATGTGGCTGTGTATTCATTTCAATTCTTGTTTTTCATTGCTTTTTCCTTTCTTTGACCCCTATACATCCTGTGTCCCAGCAGTATATTCTTTCTGCTTTGTATCCTAAGGATACCTTTCTCCATTTTTGTCATTTCCCATCAATTACAG